TTACAGGGCAATTACACAATTGAAATATATTAATTAAAACTGTACTTTGAACAAAGCAATTTTGTCAGAAAGTTTGGTTACAGTAAAATGTATGTTAACACAAATGCCTTAACTTAAGATTTGGTCTCCATATTTTTTATGTTCATTACTGGAAATCATATAGCTCACAGTATCACTATTTATTAGTGTATCATAATAAAATGCTATTTGTTTGTCAGCTGTTAAATGTAAAAGTGCAAGTGTAAAATGTGTCTGAATTTTAAGAATGTTTCTGAATTAAATGGCCAAAATTCTAATCAAATCTGATTGGTACTACTTTGTTAGTTAAAGGTGTATCTTACCTTTCATGACACAAATCATATTTATACTATAAGGGCCACCATCTTGCATCAAACACACTTGAACAATCTACCAGTTATCAGACAAAATAATAATAATTACGTCCTGTATACAATATTGGGACATTAATATTGCCCATAATCACATCTAGACAATCTACAATTGTTGTTTTCGTTTGAACTATATAATGTTTGTAACACAATGTGATGTAATATATTACATGGTTCTGTAAAACATGTATATAAAACTTAAATAAAGTATCTTCATTTCATTCAATGCCAATCTTTTCTGTTATAGCCCAATTAAGTAATCAATTAGTACAGATAAGTGCACGATATGCAAGTATTAATGATGAGAAACAAATGTCAACATGATGCTGCAGAAAACACACACACTCAATCGATGCACATTTTTTCTAACCCAACTTCTAAGCATAACGCGCACAGAAACATTGTCATTTTTTTTTTTAACCAAACACTGTTTAAGCCTCTTGGTTTAAGGAAACATGAAGAAACATCTTTACATTATGATACCAATGCCATTATACACAACCGTTTCCTCGTAAGTGCCCACGGATTTGATATGTATTCTCTATGTACCTCAATGGGCTTTATGCCCAGCTGCATTACTTCCTGAACTTCAGCCAGCTCCTTGTTTCCTGTCTGCAATTATTGGCCAAATTGATTAATCCAGGTGTGCCTGACCTCAGTTGTCATGGCAACAATAATCAGACACACCTGAATTAATCAATTTGGCCAATAATTGCAGACAGGAAACAAGAAGCTGGCTGAAGTTCAGGAAGTAGTGCAGCTGGGCATAAAGCCAATTAAGTCAATCATCAGACAGTTAATGTGTCTGTGAATCTGTATAAGGGAAGTCATATAGTCTCCCTCATCCAAATATTTCATTAGTTTTACTTAAATTTGACCAATTTAAGTAAAATGTATTTTACTTAATTGAAATTAAAAATTGTTTGAGATTACTATAATTATTAACGATATGCCTATTGGTCCATGCCAACCGACTAACTGATTGGCTGTCAATGTTTTTACTGTTCATCAGCTGAAAAAAAAAAAAAAAAAAAAAATTCCATGATGTTGTTTCTGTGCCGTTGTCTTTATAGTTGCTTTGTGGTCTCCATTATTTTTTACATTTTGAACTATATCTTCCACCCTCAGAGGAACATTTCATTTAAGTAGAATGAACTTGATTAGATGTGGTTGTATTCACACTTTCGACTCCGGTGAGTTAATTCAAATGTATGTAAATCAGTCATCAACTTTCACATGTAATGACAATCAAATCATTATATAAAACATACAAATTGCCTTTGTCTTGCAGGTTTTCTACTCAAGTGAGTTAAAACAAGGACATAATTCTGTCTGTATGGCATTAGCTTGATCAGACACAGCCATCTTCACACATCAATGGTTACATTTTCAAAGTATGTCTGACAGAAAACAGCCAAATCACAATGTCTTTCCAAACAGGGGCCGCTCTTAATGGACTGTCCTTTAAAACCAGAGCTTTAAGAAGAACTGTTTTTGGAAATGTGCATGATTCATCTCCAAACCACTATGGTAACAGCCGTTAATAAAATAAAGTAAGATGCCATAGAGGAAAGAAAAAGCTACCAGTGGTCAAATTAATTTGTAGTAGTGTATATTAGATTTTTGTTGAGGTGTTTTTGGCTGTATCATACAGGACAGACTGACCTCCCACACATAATTACTCATCTCCTTTTAACACTTGATATTTCTCCTCACTTTCACAGACAATCTCTCTTTTCTGTAAATCTCCAACTCTCCTCTGGTTTCAGCTCTGCATGGCTCACTTTAGCACTGACAATGTCTCTGATATTAGTGGTTAGTCTTCACCCGAGATCACAAAATCCAATCTCACATTTCATTTCAACACTCTTAAATGGACTGTGCCATTTTGGTTGCTTTTTGGTCCTCTTACTATATTGGGTATGTATATATATTTTCTCTATAAGCACTGAAAAAAAAAAAAATAAGGTGGGTATATCAGGTATTACAGCATCATATAATTTGTAGTTTATTATAAGCCTATCATTAACTGATATACTGTAAGCCTATTTGTAATACATCACATTTTACTGAATATTGGCAAATAAACATGTATTCAGTTTTACTCACACATAGATCAAATGGACCAGGGTGATATACAACATACTTATTGGATCAAAAGATGACCAAATGACACTCAGGGTTGTCCTTTATACACACACACACACACACACACACATAATATATATATATATATATATATATATATATATATATATATATATATATATATATATTATGGCTGGGCAATGATTAATTGCCATTAATCACATCCAAAATAAAAGTTTGTGTTTACATAATATATATGTGTGAAAATTTAAATTAAATATATACATGCATGTGTGTGAAAAATTCACACACATGCATGTATATATTGAAGGAAAATGTGTTGTTAATATATAAAATCTTGATATATATATTTATTATAAATATATATATATACAGTATATGCATGCAAATATTTCTTTAATATATACATGCATGTGTGTGTATTTATATATACAAAATAATTATATCACTACACACACATATATTATGTAAACACAATTTTTTATTTTGGATATGATTAATCGCAATATATATATATATATACACACACACACACACACACACACACACACACACACACACACACACACACACACACACAGGCCTATATTTTGCAACGGGGTTGAATAATTTCAATTACAATTGAAACTATATACAGGTATTTTGTTTTTATATACTTTTATTTTACATTTAAAGACACTAAGGTAATAATAAAGATACTATTACAGTTTATTATCAGTAAACAACTCATATGAGTTTCCTCATATTTTTAAGGCAGCAAGTGCATTTTCATTTCTTAGTTTAATTACCTGGAAATGTTTTCCATTGCATGGATTATATCAAAGTATCATGAACCTGTCAACGTATACCTACAACACTTTTGCATGGGAGTCGCCTTTCAAAAACAAAAAACCCCAACTAAAACCTAATGAAAATTACATGTGAAATGATTAAAGAAGAAAAAACCTAAAACAATTCAACATTTTAACAATGCTGAAATGACAAAAGTAAACAATCGGTGCAAATGTACTCAAGAAGTCTCGTTTTCTGAGGAACAGATTCACATATGGTAAACATCATGAGGTTCCTGATGAACTAGTCCTCATGAGCTCAGCATGCATGCATTGGCAGAGACGGAGAGAAATTCGAGAATCTCTCTGCTCTTCCTGTCAATTTTCGTGCCCTTCCCATGAAAAAGGAAATGAATGCCTAGCATAGCCACAGAAATGTGTGAGTGTGTCGAGGAGAGACATCCTCATCACATCTGGAAGTAATTGCCACACCGCCAATAACTAAAGCATGCGTTCTCGTACACTGCCATGCAAAATAAAGCAGTAAATCAATCACCAACAGCAAACAGCAAAGGCTGAACTCTCAGGTAAGACTTTGCTGCAGATCAGGCAGACAGCATCACCTAGTGGACATATAGGCAAACCTAGCCTGATGAAATATAAGATCACCTCTATTTAATACATAGGCACTCAATTCAAATGCAGTAACATCAATAAACGGACACAGATGTTATATAACACAGAGTGGCAATAATATATGACCAGATCCACCAGAAACTCTATAGATCACTGCAGACTATTGAACATTATCTCATTCACAACAGTCTATGCAATTTTCTGCCCTTGCATGCTCATTTATTAATTATATTAGCCAATTTAATAATAATAATATTTATTATTATTTTTAAAATAATAAATAGTAAAATAAAGAACAATTAGTTTTTAATTAATAATATAGTTTATATTACTACTACTTATTATTATTATTACAAAATAGTAACCAACCACTAAATAATGATTATCCCTAATTATATTGATAATAATAATCATACCATAAATGTTGGAATAACTTATTTTTTTTGTATTGTATACTGTACATACACATACTCCAAATAACATAATTCTTATTTTAAAATCTTGGGACTAATTAATAATAAAATAATTTATTTTCAAAATAATAAAACAACAAAAATAACAATTACTCCCAATTATATTACTAATAATTATTATTCCATAAATGTAGGACTAATTTATAACAATAACTAATATAATCATAATAGTAACCGATGAATAGAAAAAAAAATGATTGGGCTGTGAAATGATTAATCGCAATTAATCGCATCCAAAATAAAAGTTTGTGTTTACATAATATATATGTGTGTAGTGTGTATAATTATTTTCTATATATAAATACACACATATGCGTGTATATATTTAAAAAAAAATGTGTTATTAATATACCAAATATTTATATTTATGTATAATATTAATTTTGTATAAATATAAATAAAGTATATCTATGGAAAAAATTCTTAAATATATGCGTGCATGTGTGTGTATTTATATATACAAAATAATTATACACACTGCACACACATATATTATGTTAACACAAACTTTTATTTTGGATGCGATTATTCGCGACTAATCGTTAAAAAAAAGTTATATTTGATTAATTATTAACACACACACATTACTGCAAAATGTTGGACATTTTTAACAGACACTCAACAAAAGCATCAAATATAGTGTTTATTGTTCCTTTTTACTTAAAAATAATCTAGTAGATCAATAAATAATTAAGGGCACAAAATATGCTTCAATCCTAAGAGAAGACAACTAAAGGAGTTTGACAGAGGCCTGTGATCATAGTCAGCATCTTCAGAGCCAAAATCACAGGAACATGACAGCTTTCCTGGATGTAGATCAGGTTTGGTTTCAGACTAGACCAAGAATAATCACTACCGACAGCGAAAGTTAGTCCAAGACTTTGCATAATCCGCTTTAGGGAAATTGGCTCCGTGTGTTTGAGCTGACCGCTGATCCATCCTGGGTTTCACTGTGCAGTGATTACAAAAGACAAAATATATGTACTGGCATCCATGTAACGGCAGTTAATCAAAGTCTGACAGAAAATTGTAAACATTTAATTTTATTTTCGCGTGCAGCTGAAACGCATCCTGTAAAGAGCTCCTTTATGTTGGAGAACCTCTCATCTCAACATAATAAGAAATAAAAAAGCCAGTGTCGGAATTTAGAATGAGAATTATCTTTCTTTGCGCAGAAATAATTCTGAATGCGCTCTCGCTTCCCGCTGTAATTTTGAAAGGATGAAGGTCAACAATACAAAGAGGCTGGCTGCTCCTTTCTAAGTGAAAGACAAGATGATTATGTGAAACTAAAGCCACACACGCTGTAAGACGAAATACTGTGTATTCAGGGTCAGCACTCTTTTCAACGGATTATCTCTTTCTCACACACCAACGACATGTCAGCCAGACACATACAGCCTTTCTTATTTTTTGTGTGTTCCAATCCTCTCACACACACTCATTCATTCTACCTCTCACTGTTTTTGTGTCTTTCATGCAGAGTGCTGATTTGATGAAGTGTGTTGTGGATACAGAGCTTTGATGTCCATAGCGAGATCTGATTGGCTTGCTTGTCTCCTCTTGTGGTTGGCTGGGATTTTAAGGTTATTCAGCCTGGCAGCCACAGGGGGCGCTCTGCTCACGGCCACAGTTCCTCACTCGCTGACCGGCATCTGAACCCGTCTTCTGAGGGAAGAGGACGAGAGATTATTAAGCTCGAGCAAACTGCTACAAGACAGAAGGTCGATTCTTGTTTGTGTTGTATTGATGCACTTTACGCATTTAACCACACGCTAAGAGCAGTTATTACAAGATATTGCTCCTTTCTGACTAAAGTTGATTCTGCATAACGGAGGGAAACAAGATGAAGGGTGAGTCTTAAACTTATGTCAGTTTGCAAAACACACACATGCACGCGTTGATGTTAAACAGTCGATGATATATCACACAGTTTTATGAAAAAACAAACAAACTTATAAATCTATTCATCACAGAAACGTGCAAAAACACAAGTTTTAAATAATGAAGGACCTCAATAGCAAGCCATAAGTGCAGTTTTACATTCTTTGTTTTTTCCCCCAATTTAATTTCCTATCATTTAATATTTAGTAATTTATTCATATGATTATTGGATTTCTGTCTTTATCACTTAATCATCATTTTGTTATTATTATTCCTTTTTGTCATTTTGTTTTTATATTATATATTACTTATTATTAAAACTATTTCCCTGCTCTTGCAATGCTTGCTATTGTCGTTTAATCTTATGATTGTATTTCAATGGATTTTGTCTTCACGAGTAAGAGATAAGAGAATATTTCCATTTGATTCAAAGTCGATGTTGTGAATCAGTCATTTCAAAATGCCAACCAACAATATATTTTTGAAATTAACTCAATATATTTTTGAAATTTTGAAATAACTAAACATATTTAGATATATCGAAATTGTCTTCCATTGCGATTTCCCGTATATCTAAATATGTTTAGTGAAAGGTAAAACTTCCGAAATCTCTGTGTAAACAATGCGTGACGTACATACGCACGCGATCACTTCCTGCGTCACGTTGGAGACGGTTCAGTTCGGTTCAGTTGGACATCTGATTCAGATCAGTTCGACGGCTGTTAACAAGCGGTAAAAACTATATAAATACTGTTAGTTTTCTCACACAAACCGCTCGTTTCACCATTTACAAGTCATTAAATCATGTTTAATTTTGACTCCATAGACCTGCATTATATGACTGACAGACAACGGTTTGACCAAAAAATGTCAAAATTGAAAATACTGTGGAAACAAAGACACCTACATCTTGGATGCCCTTGAGGTAAGCTAAAACATATCAAAATTAATTTCAAAGTGAACTATCCCTTTAATAGTGTGAAGTGATTGTGATCGCTTGCGTGTGAGATTGATGGCGCACTGCTATTATACTTGGTGTAGTCTATTGTTTGATTAAAACTCCCGGCTGCATTTTGTCCCGGTTTGAGTCATTTTGTCCAAGTCCATTACCCACAATTCCTAAGCCCATTATTTCTACGCAGCTGCTAGTTGATGAGAAAATGAAACACTATTTTCAAGTGATCCACGAAAACCCCAAATGAGCCCTTGAGGAAGAATCGACAGAAGCAATTTTACCAAATCAAAGTAAGGGAGAAACTTTGTAGATATACCCCCGAGTGGAAAAAGGAAATACCAAAAACAAAAGAGTGGCCACTGGCCAGCAGACATGCTAGATCATCTGTGACACACACACTACTAAACTAAAGAAAAGATGCAGCTGTTGACAGTATTAGTCTCATAGAGGAGTGTCATGGGATAGGTTAGTGCTAGTTTTTATTTAGTGATGTCTGCCAACAGATCTGTTCTACTTTGATGTGTAATGTTAAAGCGTAAGAGGTGTTACAGTATGTTTCTGCACTCTTCCATTTTTAGCAAATACATTTTTGTGATGGTTTGTATTTTTTGTGCACTTTATGGAACATCAATGCCTCTTTAAGTGATAAACTCCATTACTTGTGTTTGTTTTCAGGGATGATATCAGACATTTTATACTTATGCTACAACTATTTGGCCTGTGCTCCAGAACTTTGAACCTCTGTAGCACCAGTGCTATGTGCAAAAAAAGTTAACGTACAGCCCTGCCCTTTATGGATATGATAAGACACACATGGGTGAATGACACAATTATGCAGTTTCCTGTTAAAAACTATCCCGCCCTGTTTTGGAAGTAGGATTGATGATGTATTGACTTTTAATTTTGACCAAAAAAAGTGACAGTGTAACTTTAATACAAATAAATTAACAATAAAATAGAAATATATAATAATTAATGGCATTAAAAAAGGATATAAAGGCAACTAAATAAATTATATGGGGATTAAAAAGTCAAGAGATGTATACATAACCATTATTTCACTATTTAAATTTATTTATAAAATTATTTTTCATAATTTTAAATATAATTTCAATATTGAATTTGACTAAAACACACATTATTTTATATTAATAAAACATAAAAATAATATAATAAAATAGTAAAACATTAATAAAAATGTTTTACATACAAAACATTAATACAGTTATCAATGTTTTATTTCTAATACTATTGTAAATAAAAATAATTTCAGAAAGTACATTTCAATATACGTGTATATACTGCGTATATTTTCTTATTGTATTATTATGACACATAAAAGCGAATCAAAACTAATCCCCCAAAAACCTCAAGACACACACCACTGTGATTTTGCCAAGACAGATCAAAAGATTTTGTCGATGCTGGAAACATTCCTGTCCCAAAATTTTGTCCTAACCCTAAACCCAACCCTACCCACAAGTTATCCGTAAAATCAGGGGGAATTGATAAGCCTAAACTGTAAAGTTGTCCCTTAAATCCTATTGGTTGCTTGGGTTGTTGTGCAGGAACATTTTGTACTTGGTGAAATCATGTTCACCACACACACACACACACACACACACACACACACACACACACACACACAGACCTGGGTGGGTTTACGTGAAGGTCTTTTTGGTTGGTTGTCTGGGTGATTAGGAGTCCAAGCCCCCAGGCTCTGATTGGAGTAGAAGTCCATAGGATACACTTCCTGCCATCCCACCTGCTGCAGCGCTACTGCTGCCTGAAACAGAGAGAGATCTTAAATTAAAGACAGCATCAAACACTGTAGCTACAAGCCAGAGGAGAGAATCTTGAGAAAACAACATGGCAGCGCTGCCAATAGCTGACGCTATGAGCGCTGTCGAACATCAAGGGAGATCTAGTCAACCACGATGCTTCACATCTAAGAGGGCACGTCACGTGACTCTCGTACAAGAAAAAAAAAAAAATCTCCCGGATGGCTTCTTGTATTACCGATGCGCAAAGATCTCCCCCACTGGTGATACGCACCGAGCAGAGACTCTGAGTCGAGGTGAGATCCGTGCTGTTCCATGTGACCTACAAATGCAGACGAATACATTAGAGGGCCTCAAGAGGAATGCAGGACTTCCTCGTGCTTGTGGCTACATTACATAAACTCCAGGCGGATTTCACCAGTCAGACTGAGCTGCTTATATGAATAATCAATGCGCCGTGTTCGTCTCCGCCTGTGGGCATGTATACCCACTTCACAAGCGAGGCACGCTGTGACGTACGGTTCTAATACCGTGGGAGAAATGACAAACGCCCCTGCCTCCGGTGAAGGACTGTCTCTCTCCACTGACAGTACAACAATGCCCCACAAACAAATTCATCTTCATAAATCTCTCTTAAACAGCCTTCAAAACCTAATATTTAGTCACTCGCTTTTATTGACTGGAAAAGCGACAGTCGAGATGTTCTGGCATGAATGTTTTTCAGTGAAAATTGAGGGTTCTGAATATAGAATGCATTTTATAATATCATTTAGACTCTTAACCCTACATAGAATTATTATTATTTTTTTAATTTGATAAAATATGATTCTAGAAAGATATTGCAGAACAGTCAGAAGTTTGGACCAACTCACACTTTATTTTGTATTCATATTTTAGATTAATAGTTAAAGCAATCAAACAAGGAATTAGCACAAATGGAAGTATGGGAATTATGTAGACACCCCAAACGAACAAAAGTACATTGGAATAATTTGAACTATTATAAAAATTATATAGAAAATTTTAAATGTTGTACTAATAACACATAAATTAATGATAAAATATAAAAATGAACATATTAAAATTTAGGCTATATAGTACTATATCAATAGTAAAGGAATTATGTAGGGACCAAACAAGACTTGTCCAAACACTATTTTACTATTTATATTTGTTTATAAAACTAACTAAAATTTAGTCATTTAAAATAAAAATGTAATAATATTGAATATTATGAAAATATATTATATAATATTAATAAAATATACCCTAATTAAATAACAATACAATAAAAAGTTAATAAAAATAAACATTATTATTATACATTTAATATTAGTGACTTTGGAATTATTATTAAGTAATAATTAACAAGTATTATTATATTCATATATTGCATTAATTATATTCTTATTTTAAAAACATTATAATAATATTAAATATAAATATATTAATTTTGTGCAAAAAGTAAATTGGTGATTAGGAAAAAAAGTATGTTTATGAAATAAAACCGCATTTTACTTACTCTTAATGTGGTGCCAACATCAGTCTTTTGTTCTCTCTTCTTCCATCCATCATGTCCTTATTAACCCTGACACATCCATCCCTCTTTCACTAGCTTTTCTACCTTCTAATCCCTACACTGACATGAGAGACAAGTGTGTCATTGACTATAAATATAACACCACACACTGAAAGTCACTGCCTTCTCTCTCTCTTCATACTTCACCTTTACACTGCCTGAAGTCTTCTCATTTCTTTTTGACTCCACAGAAAGAGCAAACACAAGCAGAGATGCATTATGGTGGCAATGTCTGAGAAAAAGCTTTACTATGAACTCCATGTTCAGATATTTAAGCAACCAGGCTGGGCAGAAATGCTGTTACACTACAAAAACATCAGCATGTTATTGCTGCATTCTAATGTATTCTCATAATGCCATATTTGCGCTACGTTTCTGCACACAAAAATGCACTGAGCTCCAGCGTGGGCCAAGTGGCAATGAAAATGGATTATGGTGACGCTCAATATCAGGAGTACATATGATTATGCAGCGCTACAATATGGCTCTACTGAGCATTGTCATTTTTCACTAAGAGATATGATGCCATAAACTCAACATAAATGATCTTCCACTGCTACAGTGGGTACATTGAGACCGATATATTGGCCGGGATGATTAATAGGCTGATATTTAGTCGTTTTCAGAGGCAACGGCAGATAAACATTTCTGCTTGGCCGATTAACAGAAGTGGAAGATTCTTCTTGTGGCAACAGCATTGTCAATGTATAGTGCACATAGTGAATTCAAGTAAATATAATGTATAGGTGTGATATGTCATGTGTTGCTGTTCATCTGAGGATGTATTTACCTCTTTTTTAAGACCTGTCTAGGACCAGATGAATTTTATTATGTCCTGATATGTAAAACCATAGAAATCAATAGGGTGTACTTTCTTTTTCACATGGCAATTTTTAGTTGTCATTACTTCCGTCTGCTAATTAAACCTTGTATTAAAGGGACAGTTCACTTTGAAATTAATGTTTGATATGTTTTAGCTTACCTCAAGGGCATCCAAGATGTTGGTGTCTTTGTTTTCACAGTATTTTCAATTTTGACATTTTTCGGTCAAACCGTTGTTGTCTATCAGTCATATAATGCAGGTATAGGGGGTCCTCCTCAAAGACCATGCACAGAGAAGTCCAAATTAAACATGATTTAATGACTCGTAAATGAACGTTGGACATGGTTCAGTTGGACACTGGACAACTGATTCAGATCAGTTGGGCATGGCTATGGTTACACGAGGTAAAAACGATATAAATACTGTTCGTTTTCTCACACAAACCGCTCGTTTCGTGTCTTAGGCCATCATTGTGTACTTACATTTACGAGTCATTAAATCTTGGACTTCTCTGTGCATGGTCTTTGAGGAGGACCCCCTATACCTGCATTATATGACTGATAGACAACAACGGTTTGACCGAAAAATGTAAAAATTGAAAATACTGTGGAAACAAAGACACCTACATCTTGGATGTCCTTGAGGTAAGATAAAACATATCAAAAATTAATTTCAAAGTGAACTATCCCTTTAACTAATGTGCTGATTGTCATGCAAGGAACCTTTTTTACAGGATGAGTTGCAAATAATGGTTAAGTGCGGAAACAGCCAAACATAGTCTCATTTCAAATCACTGCACACATTTTAGTGCAAGGACTGAGCAAAACCGACACTCGTAAGTAAAACATAGTAAAATGTGAAGTTGTGCAGTGATTTGAAATGAGACGATGTTTGGCTGTTTCCACACTTAACCATTTTCCACTTTTAAGAGATGAAGTCTATTTCATGCACTACTGTCTTGAACAAAGAACGCAAACTGGTTTTAACCAGGACAGAGAGAAATGAATGGCCCAGATGCACAACAACAAGAGGACAAGCACACCAGAGGCTCAAATAGAGTCTCAGCTGGCAGCTTAATTGAACAGCTCACTCTAAACACCAGCTTCTGACCTTTAGGCAGAGTTTCAAAGAAAGAGTCACATCTGATCTGGCAAATGAGCACAAAAGGGCTTTAGAACAGGATAAAGAACATAGAGATAACACAGAGCAAACAATTATTTACGGACGGCTGAATCTAAGTTTGATTGTTGAGGTGTTGTGGAAATTGTTTGATTGTAATTCAGTCAAACTCATGGAAAGTGTTACAGTGGCTACAGTGATATAGCCAACAGTACCGGTCAAAAGTTTGGAAAGATTACTATTTTTAATGTTTTTGAAGTCTCTTATGCTCATCAAGCCTGCATTTATTTGATTAAAAAATCATTTATATCAAAAAATGTAATATTGTAAAATCAGTGAAAAATTTATTTATCAGCCATTACTCCTTATTGACTGATTACTTGGAAACATTTGTGCTGCTTAATATTTTTTATTTATTTTTTATTTTTTTGGAACCCTATTGACGAATATAAAGCAAAACCTGATTTATACCTGAATATATTTATTTTTACTTAATGTATAATTCATTTTTAGAAAGTATAGTATATATTTTAGTTATGACTTACTTTTATTAATGCAAAATAACATGCAATATTGTAAGTAAAATAATCTGTAACATTACTTTTATGTTACATGTAAATTATATTATCAAAAATCACAGTAAAAAAAAATCCTTGGTGAATAAAAAATATTATTACATTTTAAAATAATGGTTTTTTAGATAAAAGTTGAATTTTCATCAGCCATTACTTCTTATTGACTCATGGAAACATTTGTGCTGCTTAATTTTTTTTTAAGTAAAGTAATCTGTAACATTACTTTTATGTTTACATTATCAAAGATCACAGTAAACAAAGAATCCTTGGTGAATAAAAATATCACACACATTAGATATCGTCTATGGGACACCTCGATCTCAAGATATCAGTGTAGATTTTGGTATCAGCCACAGAAAATCCCATATCAGTCGCCCACTACTACATTATGCTTGTGGTATTCCTGGTGGACTAAGCGAAAAGAGAAACAGGAATCCTAATGAGGTCTATCTGCAGATAAAACCCGCCAGATGTTCTTGTTTTGCATCTGGGAATGGATAATAGGGATTTAACCGAGACACCTATCCCAGGAAAAACACTTGGTGTGTGATTCTGGCTAAGTCCTGTTTTGGCATGACATGAATCAAGATGCGCACAAGCTTCTGGTGATGTGAGAGAGAAAGACGTGTTCAGAGAAGCGCTGCAGCCAGTCGGCCATTGGGGGGAGATCCTGTTCCACCCTGAGCTGGCCGACTCATCCCGCCTGCCTCTGAGGAGTAGAGATGGTGAGTAAACAAACCCTGTTCCTTCACATAGCACGAAGGTGTGTGCATAGATGTTTGTTTGCAAGGAGCAAACACATACACACGTTGTACACACAAATGCATTCAGAGCCTTTATGTCCCAAAGGCACTAAGAAATGTCCAGAAACACGCATCACAAACATGGCTGGCAGCATTTCGACTGATGTGAAGTGAACACCTGCAGTGGATGTTCAGCTATGTGTGCCTTGTGTTCAGGGAGATTACATTTCTTATGGTCAGTATAGGTCTTTGTCTTGTCTTTCATAGTAAAGTAGATGGAGGACTGTGCAGTGTACATGCATGCAAGTCTGAAGTACCTCATATGGAGACAGCAGGGGTTTGGAGAAAGCTGTTCCCCAGTCAATGGAGAGGCGAGGACAAGCGATCTGCACCCACCTATATATACATATACACACAGAGAGAGAGAGAAAGGGGTAGTTAAAAAAAGTAGTCAAAATTAAAATGTTTGGAAACCATTTTACTTGAGTTATGTGATTATTTCAGAATGCGTACAAATATTTAAAGAATTAAATATAAAGTGTTCTTGGGGAATTTTGCTATAACTGAAAGGACAGGTGTGGTCTCTTCACTTCACTGTGATTGGCCACAAAACCACGTTCAAAAATGACATCAGAATGCAATTCCAAAGTCATTTTGGAGATGAAAACACAAGTGTAAATATATATATATATATATGGACTGATGAACTGATCACAATGGACAGGAACATGTTTAAGAGAAAGCAAATACATTTATGATTTCATGTTCAATGTAGTCTGCATATTGTAACCATTAAGTATGAATATGCAAAACAGATAGTCTAGATAATCTAGATTATGAACCACTGAGACCCAACGATGAATAAATAACGTAATATTTGGGAATGAAATCAAAATGTGCTATTTCAGTATTATTTATTACAGTTTTTAGTTTATTGTAATTTATTATCTATTATTTTATATGTATTTTACAGACTTAATTTATTTGTATTAAAGTTTTAGTAAACCCATTTCAGTTAGTAGTTGAAGAACTAAATATATACAAAAGTTCAACTTTAATTTAAATCACTGAAAACAAATGTTACGTTTTTTTTAGACAACAAAAATCTTGCATCAAATTTCCTCGCACTATTTAAGATACATGTGAAGGAAAAGCAAGAAACACACACA